CATCTGGAAGAGTATTTAAAACTTGGAAGGGCATCAAGAATAACTGTCTCAAAGAAACTGGTGGTCCTGGGGAGGGAAGTGTTAGAAGCCATATATATACACTTTTTCATATATATATATATATATATATATACTTTTTCAAGAACTAAAAATTTAAGCTATCTGAATGAATTATGACTCATAAAATTAAAATTACAAAAATTGCCATCTAGAATATCTTTCCTGTGCTCACATCCTTATAGTTACAAAAAAGAGAGATAAGAATATGTGTTAAAGCTTAAGAATATAACATGTGGAAAACACATATTTTATTGATAAGCACAAATATCTTACTAAGAAGATATTCGTCACTGAAAGTCTACTCAAAACTTGGAAAGTTATTCAAGACTGTCTCCAAGGATGGGAACTTCTCTATTGCCAGTTGAATGGTATGGAGTCAGCCTCAACATCGTGTTTCTCTGTAAACACTGGGCATACACCTATTTATAAAACTTTAATGAAACCATAACAGAAACCCAGTTTGAAGAAAAAAAAATCCATTATTTCTCCAAAGTGGAGAAACTTTAAATTGTGAGCCTCAACAACAGGATAATCTGAGTTTAGAAATAAAAGGAAGCAGTGATAAGAGAATAAAGTTAATAACCGCTTTAGGATCTACTGAGGCCGTATTTGTTTAAGTGCAAGAACAATCCTGGATTCTTGAAACAAAAAGAAGTAATAGATTTTATATAAATAATTTTGCACAAGAGATGAGGAATGAGACTTTAAAATACCTCGGGAAGTAAGTATGGCAGATTTTAAAGCTCTGTGGTACCCTCTACAAAGCAGCAGCAGTCAGATTTCTTTTCTTCCAGAGAACATGAGCCCATTTGCTGCAGAAGTCACACAGTTAAATTCTTTTCTCATGCATTGACCCTAGAGGTTCATCACTGAGAAATATTTCTGATTAAAACACAGTCACCTGAGCATCTCAGAAGAGTAAAATTCTGAAATATTATCTTTAGAGAGATAAGGTTGAAAATAGTCGATAAATTTAACTCAGGATGACAGCACCTCTTTTTCATAGGGAACCCATCATTGATGACTTTGTCTTCAGACTTATTAGATCCCGTAGGAAGTTCTTCAGTTAAAAATATGTATCATTGATTCTAACCCAGAAGAGGTGAAAGACAATTTGATCTAATTTCCTTAAAATATTGCCAAGGAAACTGAGATCCAGAGAACTGCCTAAGGTGACCCAGGAGGTTAATAATGTGCTAGGTATGTTTGGGTTTGTGCTTACCTCTACCTTTACATATATGGACACTGGGATAAATCCATGGATCTTAAATGTGTTTCAAAGCTCCACAGGAGAGCAGGGGGCTTACTGAGGGAAGGACATTTTCTCCCTTGATCTTCACTCTTAGAAGTGCTGTACACTTGCTGTGTACATGTGGGTACACTGATAGAGAAAGCAATTGTGAAGCTGAGGGCTACTCTTTGGACTAGCAAACCATTGTGCGAAATGCTGGGCCTATGATGACATGCTTTCAGTTGCTTCCAAATTTTGTAGTAAAAATCAAGGAAGTAGAAAGCCTGGACAGATTAACTGCTTCAGTGATGGTCAACTGTTTGTTTGTACCCCATCTTCAGGCTCCATTTTCTTATCAATGAAATGACACTAGTGACTTCAGCTCAGATTCACTTAGGTGTTCTCAGGTATGCCCAAAGGCAACCACACTGAAATTCCTACTGACAAATGTTACTGTGTAATAGTATGGTTAGGCAGTCAATAATGGAATAATTATTAAACATGGCTACTAACACATTGTTTCTATGTGATTCTTCAGCTCAAATTTCTGAGCATCTTCAGAAAGTAAAGGAATAGAAAAGAGAATTTAAATAGTATGAAATGCTACTATAGAGCCTGGACTGTTGACAAACATTTTTTAAAATAAATAATTTATTGAGAATTTTATTTAAGGTGTTTTGATCAAATCCATGCCCACTCCCTTCCTTCCAACTCCTCCCATATGTCTCCATCACTTTTTTCTGATAACTTCATGTATTCATTCATTCATTCATTCATTCATTCTTTCTTTCATTTATTAATTTATTTATATTTAAAATTTTATGAGGCTTTTGGCTACTCTAACATCCCCCCCTCTAAAGAGGTAACCCTAAAATCTTTTAAGGATTAGATAAAAGCTCCCAAATATTTTCAACATTTTTGGCATTTGGAACAGAGTATGTTGCTAAAGGGCCCAAGTACATTGTGAGTTTTAGCCAAGAAACTGGCTACTTTTCTTTGGGGTCTTTTTACCCTAACTGCCTAGCCAGTTCCTACCTCCTATTCTTATCACACCATCCTCTGAAGAGGTTACCCAAATTGCTAATAGGGAATGGGGATGCAGACTGCTCTGGCTTCTTCCGTGCTGAACAGGGACGCAGGGTGAGGCAATTGGAGTGCCCCCTCAGTGGGTCTATCTAAAAGACTCCCAAATTGCATAACTCTTATCTCGAGGAGAAAAAGAGTCTTTGAACAGTAAATAGGAGATGTGAAGGAGAAGTAAAGGCAAGAGTGATTAGCATTCAAGTTCTAGACAGGAAACTAGAAAAACGTCAGAACAGGGCAATTTTCAAAGTTCATATGAGAGTCCATTGGAATTTCTTGACAAGGGCTTCCAAAAGCATGCCTCTATTGTGTTCCTCCTCATTTTTTCTTTTGTCTTCCAAGGCTGGACTCCAGAGTGATGGATTCAGGATTTGATTTCAGGTATTTTGATAGCTGTTGGAGTGGTTAGAATTAGTGTCAGTTCCCTCTCAAAGGCTTCTAGATAGGGTGAGAAAACAAATTTATCCATCATTTTAGAACAATAGCTGGTTGTCTGTCTCCTCTAGCTACAGGTGGGCACTACAATATTGGAGACCAAGATTTGAAGTCTTACATCTGAGAAGCACTTTCTGGTTAGGAACAAAATCATCAATGAGAAATAATTGCCTAAATTTCACTTTTTATATAGACTTAAGCCTAATGTCTTGGGAGTGTAATCCGTTGAACTCTTAAAGAAATAAACTGACAACTTTACTCTTTGGTTATACTTTCCTTTTGGGCGTTTAAGACCATACAGTTGGCCCAAATAAATCAATTTAATTTTGCACTTAAGGTCATTTGAGAATCTGTTCCTCAGGGATCACCTGGGCTTGGGAGGAGCTCCTGGCTCCTTTCTTTTACCAATTCCATCTATATGAACATAAATCAAAGGTCCTGCTTGACCATGTCTGGCTTCCCTTGGAAGCATGAATGAGATGTTTCCTCTGAGTTCACCCTCCTCTTTGTAGACTGGACACTGGTTCAAGTCCATCTGGTGAGGTCTCCATGGCCTCCCTGAAAAAGAGGACAGGTGACTCACCACATTTACATGACATTTTGAGAGGTGTTCCATATTCCCCTGGAACTTAGTCGACCTTGGAGGGCAAGAGGCAAATCTGTCATTTAAGTCCCTCTAACCACATTACTATAGGCCTCAAACTATGGCTGTTAAACATCCAATAAGGGTAGTTCCACCAGCCTGATACTTTTAATTATCATGTGCTATTTAGATAAGGCTTGGGTAGAAAAACCAAATCTTAGATAAACGTTGACTAGATATATATTTTGTTCCTTAAACTAGTTGACTAAACTATGACCATAGAAATTTTAAGATTATGTGTATATTACTTTTGTCTCATCCTTTATATATCATACCAAACCTAGACAGACCTTTATCACTTGTTTAGGCTTTCTCATTTTTTCTATTTTGGAAAATATCTCCATTTCCAGATCCTTTTAACATCTTTTACATTCTCATTTTCTTTTTCTTTTTTTTAAATTATGAGACATAAGAGCATTAACAAATAAAATTTCCATCTGTTGTGAGACTTATTTTCCTAGGGATGCTAAGCAATGCTTATTCCCTTTCAAGGTTCTAGTGTTGAGCCAATGTTTGATTAACGTTTTACTGGGGAACCAATGAATTTATTGAGCTTACTTACCAAGATAACTGAGGGGTTGTTAAGGTGTATGTATGAACTGAGGGTATGCATACTGGAAAGCCTTTATCCAGCATGGGTCATGCCTTCTCTTCCTAGCCTTCCCCAGATTGTATACTTTAGTCCTCCCCAAATCCAGGAGGCCATTAGTGATTAGGGTCAAATTACATACAGTTGGGCTAGGAAGAGAGGCTGGATAATGCTGTGAGGGTCCAATGACCCTGCTTGTTGACAAGCATTTATAATCTTAGCACTTGTGAGGTGGAGGCATGAGGCTCAGGAGTTCAAGGCCAGCCTCACTAGCATGAATTTTAGGTTAGATTGGGTTACATCAGACCCAGTTGCAACAAAACTACAGCCACTTAAAAGCTGTTATAATAATGTGCCTGTGAGCACATCTAAAGAGACACCCATATCTCCATGTTTTAGAGTATGAACTCTTATCTTTTTGCTCAAAGAGGAAATCCATTCTTTCCTATATAGCAATGAATGGGGTTCACCAGAATGGAAGACGAGGCAAGTGTATTTAATTAACGCTGTATTAAGTAGAGCGTCTATTTCAGAAGACCTTGGAAGAGGGAGGAGGGGAGGGGTCAGGGATTAAGAATAATAAATAGTTCAGTGGGAAGCAAAGTTTTCTTTAAAGAATAAAGTTTTTCGAATTTTTGAGCACTTCAAAGTATCACACATTTCTATGAGTTTTTTTTTTTCTGGAGAAGAAACATGGTCAAGAAAAACAAAAACAAAAAACCAAAGCAGTTGTGAGGATCGACAAAAGCTACTGAAAATACTAATCTCGCTCAGTAAACTGAGTGTGAGCTTTAATTTCAGCCTCGCTCTGACAACCGCGAAAGTCTACTTTCAGAGCTTCCTATAAAGCACAGCCGAGGTTTAAATGAAAAATGGCAGAGGTGTGGCCTCTTATAAGATGTGGTTAAACTTTAGATTCTGCTTATCAGAAGCAGCAGCCACAGCTTGGAACTTGGGAAAGAAAAGTCTGAAAGACATCCTCAGTTTCTCCTCCGATCCTCCTGCAGGAGGGTAGTGGTGAAGTTGGAAGTGACCCCAGCCTTGGCGTAAACAGCGGGGCTCCGGGTCCGCAAGGCCAGGGGGTACCCCTTACCCAAGCTACTTTCAGTACTGAGTTTCTGCTGGAGTGCGGCTCCCTACAAACTGTCAGCTCGCTTTAGGACCTCAGGGAAACCCAAGCGTTTCTGGCTTTAGGACCCAGGAACTCTGAGGCAGCTTGGATTTAGATCCTAGGACCACAGCACCACCTACTTATAGAAGCATCCTGAGCCTTAGCTGTCTGCATCTCCATTGGAAAGTGCGCTCACCACATCCCTTCGGCCTCCTGGGCAGCATTCCGTCTGCCCCAGCGTGGACAGCGAGAAACCTTAGCTGTGAAGTGGCGGTGGAGAGAGACCTGGAAGCAGCACGATTGGATCCCTAAGCGGCGAGTAGAGCAGACGCGCCCCTGACCGCGGGATCGCTCTCGCGGGCGTAGACACAGCATCCCAGTGGTTGCGGTCGCGCTTGCCCGGCCGCGCGCTCCTGCCAGGCGCCGGCAATCCCGAGGACCCTCTGGGTCCGCTGACCCTGCCTCAGCCGCCGGAATCCCAGAGCTGCCAAGAGCTCCCGGCGGGTGTCGGCAAACTTTTCCCGAGCCCACGTGCTAACGGAACAACCCGGCTCGCTTCCCGAGCCCGGGATGGAACGCCGCGCCTAGGCACGCCGTGTGGCCCGAGACACGCGCGCACGGTAGGCAACCCATACCTGGCTGCCCGCTCTCCGGTGGCCGACTGCCCGCCACGGAGGGTTGGAGAGCCTTCCTAAAGCCCCACGCTCTTAGTGCTCCCGCAGCGCCTTCCTTCCGCACAGCGCCTGCACACCGCCCTTTTCCCGGGTCAGAACCCGCAGCTCAGCAGAGGTTGCTAATTCACTGATGGTTATTACCTTCCTCTCCAAGTCTCCCACAGCTGTACCATCTGCATTAAACTACTCCGTAGCTTGTGCCAGTGGGTTCACTTTCTCCTTCTCTCCCTCTTTAAATAGGGAGGTGCGAAGGTGCAGGTTTCTCGTCGGGGTTCTTTCGGTCCCCTACCCACCTTGCTTCTCCCCTGTTCTCCTAGGTTCAAAGCGGAGAGATGCTCAGCGAGCGGAACTGACCATTACAGCCCCAGGGCTAGTGGCATCTGTCTTGACCTCCCCAGCCGCGCGAGCAGCGCTGCTTCTGTGCAGGAACCCCAGGTTTCCCTGACTTTGAGAGGCTCTCTGCCCTGCCCGACCGTCCAGATGCAGTTTCGCCTCTTCTCTTTTGCCCTCATCATTCTGAATTGTATGGATTACAGCCAGTGCCAAGGCAACCGATGGAGACGCAGTAAGCGAGGTGGGTCGCGTTCTGCTGAAGGTGCGTGGGGTTGGTTCCTCAGTGGGTGGGAGTGTCGGGGTGCTCAAGCACGTCAGGCTTTGGTACTCTGGAGCAGGACTGTGCTCTGCACCTCAGATCTGGTGGGCTACAGCTCCCCACTTTTAGGGTGTCAAGAGCTTGGCAAAAGGTGTTCTTCTGCTTCTATTGGGCGAGGCTCAGAGAGAAGCGCAGAGAGCCGGTTAACCCAGCTTCCCGCAAGCGCTCAGGGATTCATCATGTGGTCCCACAGTCCGCGCCTCCACTCCTGAATTCTTCCTTGGCTCATATTTGCTATGTGGGATCCATTTTTCGTGTTCTCTTCTTTTGTCCTCTTAATCATCTTCCCGAAGTCCCAAGTGTCTTTACCTTCCCAACCCACGTGCTTCTTAAATCCTGCTCCTGATCTCTTTGGACAGCCTGGCAAGATTGTGGGGGGTGGGGTGGGGGGTGTTTGGGGGAAATATTAAGTTGCGTGGGAGAACCCATGTTTCCAAGAAAAGAGCAACGTTGATGTTTTTCTGGAACCTGACAAGAGATGGGAACTTTCTAAATTAAGTAGCAACTTCTGCTCAGGCTTTCTGGGGGAGTTCTCCCCTGCAGTGCGAATGTTTTTAAAAATAGGCCCACATTGCCCGGTGTTTGCTTTCCCCAAAGCAGCAATTTTGGAGGAAGTTTTTTGTGCTCAATGAAATTCACTTGCGGCTTTTTAATTGCTCATTGCTCCATCACTTGTGTAAAGAGCAGAGAAAGTGGATGGTAGCTTCCAGAAAGGTTTCAGAGAACTAGCCTTTAGTGAGCGCATATTTCTGTATTCTGTCTTCCAGTCCTTCTGGGGGCTGTAGCTAAGCCAACTGCATTTTAAAGCTTGTGCAGCTAGACACAATGAAGTCTTCTGGGGGGATTTAAACAGAAACCACACCACACAGGCATACGCATTGAATTACCCACGCAGGGACTGTGCATAGCAGCTCCTTGCAAGCCCCAGGTGAGAGCCAGTTGTCTCTGACTGCAGTTTGGTCTTTTGCACAGTTAGAATTTGTCATCAGGTTCGTAGACTTTAATCCCTACCCCCTCCTAACCCCACCTCCATCCCCTGGGATATAAACATCTCCACCTGTGATGTGATATGAACTGTGGCTCTACATCTAGCCTTTGCAGACTTCTAAAAAAATGGCTTTTTGGACTTTATTAAGCTGTTCTCACCTATGGACAGCGGTTGGCCTACCCAGGGCAGAGCTCAGGGTCACTGATGTTCCATTTTCAAAGAAGCCTGTGCTGGCTATTGTTGCTATGTATCTCTGGATTATTATAAAGGACACATACACCCACATCCCTCTCTGTCTCATTTCTGACATTTGGAAAATGTTTGTTTTCAGAGATGATCCCATATGAAAATAGGAAGAAATTTCTTCCTATAGTTTGTGACAGTTTCATGTTGATATTTGTCTTTGAAAAGTCCCTCTCCATCTCTCCTGACCCCTTCCAACCGGCTCTGTTCTCAATGCCAGTATTTTATTTCAAGGTACTACTTGGCAGAGCCAGCAATTTTTGATTATACTGTGGTTAGAAGTGTTTGGAGAAGCTCCCCCGACTTTTAAAAACCAAAGCTGCAGTCAATTTAGTTGAAAAAACCAAAGTGTTTAAAGTTTGCACAAAATACAGAAGTACCTAAAACTCCGGGCCTATTCTTGTTTATGAGATGACTTACTAATTCAGTGATGGCTTTTGATTCACACTGCTCGTCCCCCTGTGGTTGAGTGGAGAAGAGTCAAGCACATTGTCTGAACAGAACTTAATGCCTCCATGCAACTTGGTGGAGAATGGACATACAGCACTCCTGCGGCCAGGAGAGATACTGCATGCCTTTCTTCTACAGGGATATCTCCAAGGCTCCTCTGCCTGTGCTTTTCTTCTTGGCTATCTGAGACAGATCCTGTTTATTTCAGAGCTCACTTTAGCAAAATCTTTTGTAATAACTGCCATGTAGTAACCCAATTAGAAAATGTGCAATAGTAATTTTTGACAAATCAACTTTGCCATTTCATGGACTGAATGCCTTCAATACACACCAAATGGTATGGCTGTTTTTTTTTTTTTTTTTTTTTTTTTTTTAACTATCGTATATTGCTGGCTTTTTTTTTCTCCCCCTCAACAGATGGCCCTTCCTAAATCCCAAGTTTCTGCTTAAAATAACTACAGTCCTTAAAAGTGACCATACTATCTGTGCCAACAAAGACTGTACTGTGTTTTTAATTAAAAGTGGAACTACTTAAAGGACTGGCTAGACAGTACAGGGTGGTAGTAGCTTTTCTGCCCTGCAAGGAAGCTTAAGGACTGGATTGTGAGAATATTGAAATGAATAGAGATCTAACTCAAGTTCTGTGAATTGTCCCTCTTCACAAACTTAAGCTGGTTTTAATTGATCTCATGCCCACTGATTGATCCTACACCAATTGTTGTGCATACCAAACAATTGGCTTTCTCAAAGGAGATTGATTTAAATTAGTTTCTTGGTGAATGCCTGACTACCAGCCAAATCGTGTCAGCACTGACAGTTGACATGCTAGAGCCTATTGTAGTACCAACATTTCCCTTGCCCTTTTGTTTTGCATAGTGGCAGTTAAATATTACCTTCTAGGAAGAAAAGTGATGACTACTTTTTTTCTTTTTTTTAAAGGTGTTGTAGCTTAGAAGATGAGTTATTTCCTTAGCTTTGTGTTCCAACACAGGCAGGCAGCAATGGTACCAGGATTGGTTAGGCTTACCCCTGGGACCTTATTTTATTTTTTTTTTCTGTATTCCATCTGCAAATAATCAAACCTTCACTGTGGCACATTCTCAGAACTCCTTTGGTGTTATGTTTAGTCTGCTCTATGATCTCAGATGCTCCATAATATCATTTTCTTAATGAAATAAAATTCTTGGCAGAGATCAGATAATTTAGTCAGTTAAAATCAATTGCATCCAGTCTGGAATAGAGAGCAAATGTATCATTTAACTCTATGTTTTATTTCAAAGATAGCCAGAGGATTGAGGAAATAAAATGTCGACCTTCTCAACCTTTGGATAAAACTTTGGGGGAGACCAATATAAATAGTTCTTAGATTTTCTTCCCTTTATTTTGAAACAATCATAAAATAAATATATTTTATAATCATCAATAGGGCCCAGATGAAATAATTTTTTATTAATTAGGCACAAACCTAGTGCTAAGAATGCTTATCTTTGTAAAAGGGAGATACATAACAATGCTTTGGCAAGCTGATTGACAACTCCGTTTTGTCTGCATAGTAACAATATGACATTTATCAGACCCTCCATCCCTCTTCAATATGTAATTCCTATTAGCTACTGTTAGCCACTATTCTCTGCATCTGAATTGGTTTCTGATGATTTATTTGTATTCTTAAATAGTTATTTGGTTTTAATTTTTTGGAATTGTTATAAGCCACATATTGAGCTGGATTACTGAAAATATATAGCTATATTATAACTTTATGATGGCCTCTTGGAGTTTTTTGAGCTTGGTGTGTGATGACTTAATTTTCTATCTTTTCCATTCTGCTGATATGCCTGGGCATAGCAGAATCAAGGACACTGGAAAACTTCTCAAGGAAATTTTTGAAAGCAACCGGGCTTCTGGACATGGCACTTGTGTTTCTGGTGGTTTGCTCACTGGGCACGGTGCTGCAAGTGCTGTTGCTTGTAGTCTTTTCTATCAGAAGCTTCGGGGTCTCTTTCTTCCATAGCATCTCATTTTCACAAAATTACATTTGGCTTCTTCTACAAAGATGAAGTGTTTATCACAAATAGTGTGGTGTGTTTCTGGCAGCTGAGGCTGGAAAAAAAGATAAACAGTTTCTCTTTAACTATATAGAGCTAAATTAATTTGTCCTTTAAAATTTAACGAAGAGATTTGGAGATATTTGTTTTTCATAAGTACTTTTTAATAATGTCTGATTTCCCCCACTATCCTTTCAAAATACAAAGTGGCACATGGAACGTATTAACCTACACTTAAAAGCTTCAAAATACATTTCATATGCATGCTTACTTTTTTAAGTTCCAAAATATTTCAGAAAAGTTGATGTGATGTTTAACTTTCAACATAAACATGTTCTTTTTTTTCTTCACTCTATTTTTAATTGGCTGCTTTTGCTTCCAACATAATTGCATCAGTTTTTTTGGCCAGTGTTTTAACTAGTACAAGGAGGTCAGAGGATTGCTGTGCTCAGACCAACATCTTACTTGCCACTGAAATTTGGAAGGGATTCAGAATAGGTGATGTTCTCCTAGCCCTCCATTTCTTTTATTCATTAAAAAAATTTTTTTTACAAAAACTTTATTGAGAATTTCATATATGAATATAAGGTGTTATGATCAAATCCATGCCCACTCCCTCCCCTCCAACATTCCCCCTTCTGAAGAGGTAACCCTAAAATCTTTTAAGAATTAGATATAAGCTCCCAAATAGTTTTGACATTTTTGGCCTTTGGAACAGAGTTATGTTGCTAACCAGGCTCAAGGACAATTTGACTTTTAGCTAAGAAACTGGCTACATTTCTTTGGTCTTTTTACCCTAACTGCCTAGCCAATTCCTACCTCCTATTCTTATCACCCCATCCTCTGAAGGGGTTACCCAAATTGCCAGTAGGGAATAGGGACACAGAATACTCTGGCTTCTCCATGCTGAACAGGGATGCAGGGTGAGGCAATTGGAATAGCCCTTCAGTGCTAGCCCTCCATTTAATTCTGGCATACTTTATCTGCTCTTAAATCCAAGCCTGAGTAGAATCCAATATTTGTAGTAATCACAAGTTGGAAATGACATTTCTAATTCCTTAATGCAAAACTACTTCTTAATTTATTCAGCAACTGGCCAGTTCACAGATTATCCAGGCTACTTTTTCTTTTTTCTTTCCTTCCAACTGACTGCCTCTAAATCCTTTTCCCCCCTCCTTTCTGGAGTCACCCAAGTTCAGGAAATAGATGACAGAGAA